ATATAATATTCTTTGTTTAGCTCTTTTTCTTTCTTCTTCTCTGTAGCATGAATATGGCGTTGTAAGCTTTTCAAACTTGTTATCCTTTATTTTATCCTCTTGATTTTCTTCATGAGAGATCTTCTATTTCTAGGCTTGATGAATATTTGTCCGTTAGACAACATTCATAGTTTGTAGCCTTGATGTTTGTATTTTCTCTTTCTTCTTTTAACAGTAGCTGTTGTGTAAGTCAACTTTGTGAAAGCAGGCGTGCTTTTCAGTCCTTTGCTTGAAGTAGGTTGTACAATCTTTTTAGACTTTGCTTCAAGAGAGAAACATTCCATGATTATCTCTTTTGTCTCTAACGTTCATATTAGATTTTTTATCTGTAGCACTATGGATGCGTGTATAATAGCTTATCTACAAAATTAGAGTAAATTGTGCATGCAACAAATATGACTTTTCTTATCACTTTTGTTGTTTTTGAACATTAACATTTAATGTCATTTAATTCTTGCTCAGAACAACAAAGTTCCTTTTGATTTCTACCGTTAGGTAGCATTTTGCAATTAAGCTCTTTTAAATTTGAAGATTACCAAACATGTAGAACTTCATCATAAGATGACGTGTCTTTTTTGCTCATGGTATATCTAGATACACGTAAACGCTTCTTTGTATGTGTACCTTATATGCAAATAGCGTTTAACTTTCTCGGGCTTTCTTGTATCTTTTAATGAAGTCTTTTAGTTATTTTAGTCAAAGACATTAATTGTCTCGACCCATTTTCGTTTTCGAGAGAAGTCAAATACCTAGTACAAGTATCTTAAGCATTGAACATTTAGCTAAGTTCTCTCTCAGACACTTTTAGATAAGACATCGTCTAGTCAAGCGTCTGGTTGTTCTAGCTTAAATGTTTTTCTATTTCCTAGGATCTAAGTTTTTTCCTATAACTTCTAAGTTTTATGTCTTAGTTTCTAGTTTTGTTTGTTTTTTGGTTTCTGGCTATAGTTTTTATACGTAGGGGTTTTTGATCTTTTAATCAAGTTTTAATGTATTTTTCTTTTGTTATTCCAGTCCCAATCTCCTCCTTCGATCAACTTCAAAAAATGAGATTGTTGTTCATATAGACGATTTTGTCTTTAACAAATGCCTCTTTTGTTCATATACTTTTCTACACATTCCATGGCCCCATATAATATTGTAGCAAACTATGCCTTCCTACATGAAAAAGAATGAACCCTTGCACCACAACAAGATAACAAATGCTATTTTACGTAACTAACCAAACAACCCATATGCACCATTCGTTCATACATGAACATCATTGCACCAAACCAAAAACCCATACTACCCATGTATTCATACATGACCATCAAGAATCCAAAACCCTTCTTGTTTTTCAAAGTCCGTAGAGTCCTGTGCCCATGCAAACCTTTATTTTTTGTATCCCAACATGAACCCAAAAAACTCTAGTTGTTTTCATACTTTAATGTAATCATAGGCAACCACAACTACATAAACCCAGCAGCTAACATTGTTTCCGTAAACATCACCACCGTGCATGATCCACTATAAAACTAAGGAAAGAAAGTAGGAAGCACAAGAGCCTTGCCCTTAATTATACTGTATGCGTATACATATACAAACATGCAACTCTACCAACGCCTATGCCTATACGAACACTACCCATGGCCCTTAAAACCTATCTCAAAGGTAATCTACCTTATCCGTAAGACTGAAACCTACGTACCCTTAGATGAGGACCATTAAACACATTCATTTATACAGCCACATTCAACCCTAAACTACTTATGAAACTCAAACACTATGCCTTGAAACCACTTATGCACTCATTATATTATACCACATGCACCATCCATTAAGTTGAAAACCTAGAATCTAACAAATATCCACGTTAATTGACATACATGGAAATACCCGAGGAAGACCCTAAGTGAACCAAATAAACTACCCCCAATAATACCCCAAGTGGAGTCGTGAATGGCCTAAGAAAATAATCCTTGTGCCAAAAGTTCATGCCTATTTGAACAAAAAGAAACCAATAAATAACATTCATGAAAAGTTGTAACCCAAAACATATATCTAAAGCCGACACCCAACACGTGGTAGAGTGAATTTTCTCACTATCATTTACATGTCAATCTCATGTAAATGATACCAATCTTCTGAATTCAAAACAAAACACTCAAACACCTAACAAAATTTATCAAAGCATTCAAAACCACACCCTTTCTTATAATATCATGCCTCTACCACTAAGCTAGAAACTCTTCAATGATATTTATGCACAAAAATACATATATAACACATACTGATGCAACTTATATCATTAACACAATAAATAAATAAAATTATAACTTAATTTATTTATTCGTCAATAATTTTAACACTCTATCGCACAAAACTAATTTATTTATTTTTATTATTTTCCTGAGTTATATATAATCCAAAATTGCTAATATAGTTTTCTCATTTCTATCTAAATGATAGGAACGGTTAAGATTTTGAAGTTTTTTTAACAGAGAAAAGTTGTTTAGAAATAGAGAATTTAAAATTATGTACATAATGAATTGAAATAGGTTTGCATACTCTTCTTTAATCATAGGCATGGTAGAGAATGCAGGAAAGTTAAAAGTACATAGTAGATGGATTTCTTCATAGACAACGCAAAGTGAACTTTTGACATACGTTATGTAGACATTTTATAATTAAGAATAATGAAATAATTGTCTAAAAAATAAAAAATATAAGAATATAAAGTGATTTCAAAATAAGTGAGTAAAATACCGTATTTGAAATTTTTATAAAATTTTAATATAGAAATGACAAAAAGAATATTACTAATGATGTTCTTATTGACCAACATTGTGGAATTCTTATATAAATAAAAAGTAATGTAAAAAGAAAGTTCAATTGTAGTTTTAAACTTTTTTTTTTTACTTTTTTTACGTATCAGATTTTTTTATTTTGAAAACCATCTAATGTTTTTAAGGAATTTGAAAAGCCCCACCTGTCATTTTGTTTTTCTTAATTGTTTCGCGCGCCATGTACCTACTTTTCTTTCATTTTGTTCACTGATTCTGGAACTCCTCCACATGCCTATTGTCTTCACTTTTTCCTATTTTCTTCTCTTTCGTTANTGAAAACCTAGAATCTAACAAATATCCACGTTAATTGACATACATGGAAATACCCGAGGAAGACCCTAAGTGAACCAAATAAACTACCCCCAATAATACCCCAAGTGGAGTCGTGAATGGCCTAAGAAAATAATCCTTGTGCCAAAAGTTCATGCCTATTTGAACAAAAAGAAACCAATAAATAACATTCATGAAAAGTTGTAACCCAAAACATATATCTAAAGCCGACACCCAACACGTGGTAGAGTGAATTTTCTCACTATCATTTACATGTCAATCTCATGTAAATGATACCAATCTTCTGAATTCAAAACAAAACACTCAAACACCTAACAAAATTTATCAAAGCATTCAAAACCACACCCTTTCTTATAATATCATGCCTCTACCACTAAGCTAGAAACTCTTCAATGATATTTATGCACAAAAATACATATATAACACATACTGATGCAACTTATATCATTAACACAATAAATAAATAAAATTATAACTTAATTTATTTATTCGTCAATAATTTTAACACTCTATCGCACAAAACTAATTTATTTATTTTTATTATTTTCCTGAGTTATATATAATCCAAAATTGCTAATATAGTTTTCTCATTTCTATCTAAATGATAGGAACGGTTAAGATTTTGAAGTTTTTTTAACAGAGAAAAGTTGTTTAGAAATAGAGAATTTAAAATTATGTACATAATGAATTGAAATAGGTTTGCATACTCTTCTTTAATCATAGGCATGGTAGAGAATGCAGGAAAGTTAAAAGTACATAGTAGATGGATTTCTTCATAGACAACGCAAAGTGAACTTTTGACATACGTTATGTAGACATTTTATAATTAAGAATAATGAAATAATTGTCTAAAAAATAAAAAATATAAGAATATAAAGTGATTTCAAAATAAGTGAGTAAAATACCGTATTTGAAATTTTTATAAAATTTTAATATAGAAATGACAAAAAGAATATTACTAATGATGTTCTTATTGACCAACATTGTGGAATTCTTATATAAATAAAAAGTAATGTAAAAAGAAAGTTCAATTGTAGTTTTAAACTTTTTTTTTTTACTTTTTTTACGTATCAGATTTTTTTATTTTGAAAACCATCTAATGTTTTTAAGGAATTTGAAAAGCCCCACCTGTCATTTTGTTTTTCTTAATTGTTTCGCGCGCCATGTACCTACTTTTCTTTCATTTTGTTCACTGATTCTGGAACTCCTCCACATGCCTATTGTCTTCACTTTTTCCTATTTTCTTCTCTTTCGTTAAAGCAATTGTTTATGCCCATTTCAACCAATAAATGGATGTAATACCATTTCAAAATGATTAAAATTCTATACACATTTAATAGATTTAAAACACTTACTCAAATTAAACATCATTTTCATAAGAGTACACTCATTTGGTTAACATAAGGTAGCGCCATCAACATTCAAACTTTCCAATCACCAATCACTCACTAAAAAGACTGCAACGGTCCTTTTCATTTATTATTAGGCATTGGAAAAGTGGTATTGAGATGTTGGTCTCCAGAGGATTCAAATGGAAGATATTTTTGGTTCGCATAAGCTTTAATTTTACTTTAATCATCATACACCCAAGAATAGATGATTATTATTATTTCTATTATTTTTTGTGTGGGTGTAACCAAAATGAATGATAAAAAATCGATGTGAAAAAAATGAATAGGCAGTGCTAATGGGCATGTGACTTTTGGGACCTTTTCTTTCTCTTGTGAAGGAAATTCCGTAGGGAAGTCTTAATTGAGAATCCTTGGGGGGCATGCATTAGCAACGGCTGTGACTGCAACGAAAGCGACATGGCAGAAGCTGCTCCTCTGCTGCTACCATCCATTTCTTGACTTGCCAACCATATTATCACCCTTGCCTGCACAAAATTACCTACCCAAATTCAACCCTCTCTTCAAACAAAAAACTGTTACATCACATGCTTATTTTTCATCTTCATAAATTTTAATTACTTTTTTCAATTACTATAAAACGTGTAGTTAATTAGTCCCATTGAAAGATGATCATTTTTAATATTAAAGTGAAATAAATAAATAAAATTAAAAAGTCACTTATTCTACGTCTAATGGAAACATATCTAAGCTAATTCATAATTATTTATGTAAAGAAGGTTTAAAATGTACTAGTAGAAGGGTTTGTTTGTTTGTTTTTGGACGTTTCTGTATGCAATAAACAAGCAAGCATGAGCATTAACTCCTCTCCCGATTTAGAATTTGTCCAAAAAAAGTATGAAGAAAAATTCAAAGATAAGATTACCTGAAGTTCTGTGACTTCAAGCATGTGGCGACCACCACCACCATGTGGAATGGCCAAGACTTTTTTGTTCATGTTCAACAGCTCATTCCTACAAAGTTCTTACAGACAAAAGGGAAAAAAGCTAACGACAAGCGCAAGAACGAAACACCGTTTGTTTCCTCAGAAAAACACAACCATAAAGCAACATGCTATGCTTTTGTCCATAACTGTAACGAGATACCACTCAATAAAACAGTTTCTTTTTTTCTTTTTTTTTTTTGAAGAAGAAAAGTACAAAACTGCTTACATTGAATGATGGGGTGACGAAGCAGAGGAAGGGCGAAAACGAAGATCCAGATAGCAGTTTCTCTTCATGGCAGTGGGAATAATGGCAGCAAGAATGGGAGAGTGATCACGTGTTTTTATGGGAAGAGAAAGAAGAAGCCATGAACTTGGTTATTGGTTGGTGCATGGGACAATTAGAGATTTGAAAGGGCTTATAAATAGGGGATTGTTGTGGAAAAAAAAAGGAGGAGAAAACATGGAATGAATGAATAGGTGAAGGAATGGACACGTGGGAAATGAGTTACACGTGCTACAAAACATGATGGCCTAGGTATAATAGGATTGCGTTGTAGCACTAAATGGTTACGTAGCTCGGTGTTGATAAGCAATTAATGTGACGGTAACTGGTTCTGTATTTTCACGTGGCTTCTATTTGATGGCAGCTACCTTTGCTTGCCCCTTTCAAGAGGAAGTTACCCAAATTGGAAAACTTGCTTCCTTCTCTAACCACACCTACTGCATTCTCTCTTCTTTCTGTTTCCTCTTCTTTCACGTGATCCAATTCCATTCCCTCACACTAATTCTTCGTATAATCATGCTCGCTCCCCACAAATCAAACACTAATTTTCCCATACTTTGCTTCTCCCTCACCCTGCATGCATTAATGGCACTGTTTATCCCATGTACAACCAACATTTCTACGTACACATAAGTGAACAATGAAACGGTAAATACTTAATGAATACAAGCGCAATTAAATCCATTAAGCGTCTTCGTCTTTGAATAACTCAAAATACATTTATTAGAAATATATTTACACATTTACGCAATTGTAACTAATACTCTCAATTTGATATTATGATTATTATTTACGGTAACATATCACTTCATTATTATTATTTACTTGTAGTAAATATTATTTTAATGATATTATTTAATATCACAATATAGGTTAATGACCTAATCCTAATAATACAATTAGTATTCTCTTCAAAATACTCAACCACTCTAATATCACACTAAGCTGGGCTAAGTCCTCATGGATTTGCTTTTGGTACCACTCCAAAAGGTTTCTTACCAATGGAGATATCTTATATGTATATAAACCCATGTNCATTGCACCAAACCAAAAACCCATACTACCCATGTATTCATACATGACCATCAAGAATCCAAAACCCTTCTTGTTTTTCAAAGTCCGTAGAGTCCTGTGCCCATGCAAACCTTTATTTTTTGTATCCCAACATGAACCCAAAAAACTCTAGTTGTTTTCATACTGTAATGTAATCATAGGCAACCACAACTACATAAACCCAGCAGCTAACATTGTTTCCGTAAACATCACCACCGTGCATGATCCACTATAAAACTAAGGAAAGAAAGTAGGAAGCACAAGAGCCTTGCCCTTAATTATACTGTATGCGTATACATATACAAACATGCAACTCTACCAACGCCTATGCCTATACGAACACTACCCATGGCCCTTAAAACCTATCTCAAAGGTAATCTACCTTATCCGTAAGACTGAAACCTACGTACCCTTAGATGAGGACCATTAAACACATTCATTTATACAGCCACATTCAACCCTAAACTACTTATGAAACTCAAACACTATGCCTTGAAACCACTTATGCACTCATTATATTATACCACATGCACCATCCATTAAGTTGAAAACCTAGAATCTAACAAATATCCACGTTAATTGACATACATGGAAATACCCGAGGAAGACCCTAAGTGAACCAAATAAACTACCCCCAATAATACCCCAAGTGGAGTCGTGAATGGCCTAAGAAAATAATCCTTGTGCCAAAAGTTCATGCCTATTTGAACAAAAAGAAACCAATAAATAACATTCATGAAAAGTTGTAACCCAAAACATATATCTAAAGCCGACACCCAACACGTGGTAGAGTGAATTTTCTCACTATCATTTACATGTCAATCTCATGTAAATGATACCAATCTTCTGAATTCAAAACAAAACACTCAAACACCTAACAAAATTTATCAAAGCATTCAAAACCACACCCTTTCTTATAATATCATGCCTCTACCACTAAGCTAGAAACTCTTCAATGATATTTATGCACAAAAATACATATATAACACATACGGATGCAACTTATATCATTAACACAATAAATAAATAAAATTATAACTTAATTTATTTATTCGTCAATAATTTTAACACTCTATCGCACAAAACTAATTTATTTATTTTTATTATTTTCCTGAGTTATATATAATCCAAAATTGCTAATATAGTTTTCTCATTTCTATCTAAATGATAGGAACGGTGAAGATTTTGAAGTTTTTTTAACAGAGAAAAGTTGTTTAGAAATAGAGAATTTAAAATTATGTACATAATGAATTGAAATAGGTTTGCATACTCTTCTTTAATCATAGGCATGGTAGAGAATGCAGGAAAGTTAAAAGTACATAGTAGATGGATTTCTTCATAGACAACGCAAAGTGAACTTTTGACATACGTTATGTAGACATTTTATAATTAAGAATAATGAAATAATTGTCTAAAAAATAAAAAATATAAGAATATAAAGTGATTTCAAAATAAGTGAGTAAAATACCGTATTTGAAATTTTTATAAAATTTTAATATAGAAATGACAAAAAGAATATTACTAATGATGTTCTTATTGACCAACATTGTGGAATTCTTATATAAATAAAAAGTAATGTAAAAAGAAAGTTCAATTGTAGTTTTAAACTTTTTTTTTTTACTTTTTTTACGTATCAGATTTTTTTATTTTGAAAACCATCTAATGTTTTTAAGGAATTTGAAAAGCCCCACCTGTCATTTTGTTTTTCTTAATTGTTTCGCGCGCCATGTACCTACTTTTCTTTCATTTTGTTCACTGATTCTGGAACTCCTCCACATGCCTATTGTCTTCACTTTTTCCTATTTTCTTCTCTTTCGTTAAAGCAATTGTTTATGCCCATTTCAACCAATAAATGGATGTAATACCATTTCAAAATGATTAAAATTCTATACACATTTAATAGATTTAAAACACTTACTCAAATTAAACATCATTTTCATAAGAGTACACTCATTTGGTTAACATAAGGTAGCGCCATCAACATTCAAACTTTCCAATCACCAATCACTCACTAAAAAGACTGCAACGGTCCTTTTCATTTATTATTAGGCATTGGAAAAGTGGTATTGAGATGTTGGTCTCCAGAGGATTCAAATGGAAGATATTTTTGGTTCGCATAAGCTTTAATTTTACTTTAATCATCATACACCCAAGAATAGATGATTATTATTATTTCTATTATTTTTTGTGTGGGTGTAACCAAAATGAATGATAAAAAATCGATGTGAAAAAAATGAATAGGCAGTGCTAATGGGCATGTGACTTTTGGGACCTTTTCTTTCTCTTGTGAAGGAAATTCCGTAGGGAAGTCTTAATTGAGAAACCTTGGGGGGCATGCATTAGCAACGGCTGTGACTGCAACGAAAGCGACATGGCAGAAGCTGCTCCTCTGCTGCTACCATCCATTTCTTGACTTGCCAACCATATTATCACCCTTGCCTGCACAAAATTACCTACCCAAATTCAACCCTCTCTTCAAACAAAAAACTGTTACATCACATGCTTATTTTTCATCTTCATAAATTTTAATTACTTTTTTCAATTACTATAAAACGTGTAGTTAATTAGTCCCATTGAAAGATGATCATTTTTAATATTAAAGTGAAATAAATAAATAAAATTAAAAAGTCACTTATTCTACGTCTAATGGAAACATATCTAAGCTAATCCATAATTATGTATGTAAAGAAGGTTTAAAATGTACTAGTAGAAGGGTTGGTTTGTTTGTTTTTGGACGTTTCTGTATGCAATAAACAAGCAAGCATGAGCATTAACTCCTCTCCCGATTTAGAATTTGTCCAAAAAAAGGATGAAGAAAAATTCAAAGATAAGATTACCTGAAGTTCTGTGACATCAAGCATGTGGCGACCACCACCACCATGTGGAATGGCCAAGACTTTTTTGTTCATGTTCAACAGCTCATTCCTACAAAGTTCTTACAGACAAAAGGGAAAAAAGCTAACGACAAGCGCAAGAACGAAACACCGTTTGTTTCCTCAGAAAAACACAACCATAAAGCAACATGCTATGCTTTTGTCCATAACTGTAACGAGATACCACTCAATAAAACAGTTTCTTTTTTTCTTTTTTTTTTTTGAAGAAGAAAAGTACAAAACTGCTTACATTGAATGATGGGGTGACGAAGCAGAGGAAGGGCGAAAACGAAGATCCAGATAGCAGTTTCTCTTCATGGCAGTGGGAATAATGGCAGCAAGAATGGGAGAGTGATCACGTGTTTTTATGGGAAGAGAAAGAAGAAGCCATGAACTTGGTTATTGGTTGGTGCATGGGACAATTAGAGATTTGAAAGGGCTTATAAATAGGGGATTGTTGAGGAAAAAAAAAGGAGGAGAAAACATGGAATGAATGAATAGGTGAAGGAATGGACACGTGGGAAATGAGTTACACGTGCTACAAAACATGATGGCCTAGGTATAATAGGATTGCGTTGTAGCACTAAATGGTTACGTAGCTCGGTGTTGAGAAGCAATTAATGTGACGGTAACTGGTTCTGTATTTTCACGTGGCTTCTATTTGATGGCAGCTACCTTTGCTTGCCCCTTTCAAGAGGAAGTTACCCAAATTGGAAAACTTGCTTCCTTCTCTAACCACACCTACTGCATTCTCTCTTCTTTCTGTTTCCTCTTCTTTCACGTGATCCAATTCCATTCCCTCACACTAATTCTTCGTATAATCATGCTCGCTCCCCACAAATCAAACACTAATTTTCCCATACTTTGCTTCTCCCTCACCCTGCATGCATTAATGGCACTGTTTATCCCATGTACAACCAACATTTCTACGTACACACAAGTGAACAATGAAACGGTAAATACTTAATGAATACAAGCGCAATTAAATCCATTAAGCGTCTTCGTCTTTTGAATAACTCAAAATACATTTATTAGAAATATATTTACACATTTACGCAATTGTAACTAATACTCTCAATTTGATATTATGATTATTATTTAATAATACAATTAGTATTCTCTTCAAAATACTCAACCACTCTAATATCACACTAAGCTGGGCTAAGTCCTCATGGATTTGCTTTTGGTACCACTCCAAAAGGTTTCTTACCAATGGAGATATCTTATATGTATATAAACCCATGTCCATATCTTATTTTATCCGATGTGGGACTTTGTTTGTACCCAACAGATCTTTCCTTACATTCCAACCTTAGGAGTGCTCGTTAGAAACTTTAAAACTGCTCAGATCACATCACCAGTCCAAAGGACCTCATTTAAGACTCCGATAAGAACATTTGGCGTCCCCCCTGGGGCCTTGATAGAACTTTTTCCCAGCCTCACCTTCCCATGGTCACCATCCAAAGTCAAGCCCAACCTTCTCACAATATCGAAGCAACTAATCCAATAGAACGAAGAACAATGCAGGTGCTATGATGCTGAGCTTGCAGCCCTACATGCTTAACATTAGGCAGGCCTTCAATAGTTCAATAAAAGTTGATTGACCTGGAGAACGAGAAATCACTTCCCTAAACTTGGCCTAACTCCCAAGAAGAAAGTTTGTGTCCTGGGCAAAGCACAACTAGCTAAAATGGAAAGCTTCGTGTGAAAGTCGCGATTGATCCCCTCAACGCAAAACTCAAAGAGTAAAGCAAGATAACCCGAGGCAAAACGGGGGAAACTCGCAAATGTTCCCACGACTTAGGACGAGATCATGGCAAGCACAAATGCCGCAATCCACACCAAGATAGGGAATCAGTAAAGTCCCAAGATTTCACGAGACATCCTGATAGTCGCATAAACCAGGAAGAGCGCCAGGCTAAAATACATGAAAATAAAGTGGGGAAGGTGGTCGAATAGTGTTTTTAAAACTTTTTCGCAAATCAACATTTAACGACTATTGCAAAGATTAGACAATCTACAATAATTGTTAGACGCGTGTAAATTTAATATATCATTTAGGAAAACGTTTTAAAGAAAGAAAGCAATAGCACAAGTATTTTGATACTAGTTCGCTCCAATCTAAGCTACGTCTAGTTCTCCCTTAAGACCTCTTAAGGGGTTGCACTAATATTTAACAAGATTACAACGAATATAAACCACTCCTTATACACAATGAGCTATCAACCACTCCTAGTTAAACAAGTATTATCAATCACTCCTAGTTACAACCTTAGACAATCTGTCTAGAACGTTTAACTCCATTGAGTTAAACAATAAAATTATTTGAATTCACTTATGAATCTAACACAACAAGTGTTTTTAGGTTTTTACAAGAGAGAAGATTACTCTCGTAGAAAGAATATATGAATAATATAATGAGCTTTGAAAAACTTGTAAATGTTTTTTTCCTTTTGAATGAAAGGCTTTTAGACGATATGAACTTAGAGGAAAGCCATCAGTGTAATGATTCAAAGAATTGTTCTTATATTTTTTTTATTCTCTTCAATGAGTGCTCCTAATATAGCCTTCCTCGAGAGAAAATCGTTAAACATAGAGTTGACTTCCATGTAGTCTTCATAGCCTTTTTAGGTAGGTAGTTAGACTTAGGTCAACATTGTAGAGTGATTGTGCTTTATCAAAGTTTTCTTCAAAAGTAGCTTGTACGGTTCTTCAGAGCATAGAGCTTTAAGGAAACATTCCCAAAATATCTTCCTATCTCTTAACGTCTTTTTGATCCTTGTGTAGAGCTTTCGAATAAAGCTCGATATTTTCATTATCTGCACAAATAAAAAGAGCAAAGCAAGCAAATAAGTACTTTTTCGTACATTTAATAAATGTTTTAAGCATTAGTGATTGTTAAGCACATTGTGTGTTTAAATCTTATTAGCACATGTCAGCTCGTCTAATGAAAACATCGTTTAGTTATGTTTAGTGAAACTTGTGTTCAGATGCTTTATCCTTTTTACCAAATGATATGGCGATAAGACACACTATAGGAACTTTATAGGGTTTAACGCTTTTTATCTACATGTTATATGCTTTTGTGATATCTTACATTCATTCTCATCTCATTTNAATGAATGATAAAAAATCGATGTGAAAAAAATGAATAGGCAGTGCTAATGGGCATGTGACTTTTGGGACCTTTTCTTTCTCTTGTGAAGGAAATTCCGTAGGGAAGTCTTAATTGAGAAACCTTGGGGGGCATGCATTAGCAACGGCTGTGACTGCAACGAAAGCGACATGGCAGAAGCTGCTCCTCTGCTGCTACCATCCATTTCTTGACTTGCCAACCATATTATCACCCTTGCCTGCACAAAATTACCTACCCAAATTCAACCCTCTCTTCAAACAAAAAACTGTTACATCACATGCTTATTTTTCATCTTCATAAATTTTAATTACTTTTTTCAATTACTATAAAACGTGTAGTTAATTAGTCCCATTGAAAGATGATCATTTTTAATATTAAAGTGAAATAAATAAATAAAATTAAAAAGTCACTTATTCTACGTCTAATGGAAACATATCTAAGCTAATCCATAATTATGTATGTAAAGAAGGTTTAAAATGTACTAGTAGAAGGGTTGGTTTGTTTGTTTTTGGACGTTTCTGTATGCAATAAACAAGCAAGCATGAGCATTAACTCCTCTCCCGATTTAGAATTTGTCCAAAAAAAGGATGAAGAAAAATTCAAAGATAAGATTACCTGAAGTTCTGTGACATCAAGCATGTGGCGACCACCACCACCATGTGGAATGGCCAAGACTTTTTTGTTCATGTTCAACAGCTCATTCCTACAAAGTTCTTACAGACAAAAGGGAAAAAAGCTAACGACAAGCGCAAGAACGAAACACCGTTTGTTTCCTCAGAAAAACACAACCATAAAGCAACATGCTATGCTTTTGTCCATAACTGTAACGAGATACCACTCAATAAAACAGTTTCTTTTTTTCTTTTTTTTTTTTGAAGAAGAAAAGTACAAAACTGCTTACATTGAATGATGGGGTGACGAAGCAGAGGAAGGGCGAAAACGAAGATCCAGATAGCAGTTTCTCTTCATGGCAGTGGGAATAATGGCAGCAAGAATGGGAGAGTGATCACGTGTTTTTATGGGAAGAGAAAGAAGAAGCCATGAACTTGGTTATTGGTTGGTGCATGGGACAATTAGAGATTTGAAAGGGCTTATAAATAGGGGATTGTTGAGGAAAAAAAAAGGAGGAGAAAACATGGAATGAATGAATAGGTGAAGGAATGGACACGTGGGAAATGAGTTACACGTGCTACAAAACATGATGGCCTAGGTATAATAGGATTGCGTTGTAGCACTAAATGGTTACGTAGCTCGGTGTTGAGAAGCAATTAATGTGACGGTAACTGGTTCTGTATTTTCACGTGGCTTCTATTTGATGGCAGCTACCTTTGCTTGCCCCTTTCAAGAGGAAGTTACCCAAATTGGAAAACTTGCTTCCTTCTCTAACCACACCTACTGCATTCTCTCTTCTTTCTGTTTCCTCTTCTTTCACGTGATCCAATTCCATTCCCTCACACTAATTCTTCGTATAATCATGCTCGCTCCCCACAAATCAAACACTAATTTTCCCATACTTTGCTTCTCCCTCACCCTGCATGCATTAATGGCACTGTTTATCCCATGTACAACCAACATTTCTACGTACACACAAGTGAACAATGAAACGGTAAATACTTAATGAATACAAGCGCAATTAAATCCATTAAGCGTCTTCGTCTTTTGAATAACTCAAAATACATTTATTAGAAATATATTTACACATTTACGCAATTGTAACTAATACTCTCAATTTGATATTATGATTATTATTTAATAATACAATTAGTATTCTCTTCAAAATACTCAACCACTCTAATATCACACTAAGCTGGGCTAAGTCCTCATGGATTTGCTTTTGGTACCACTCCAAAAGGTTTCTTACCAATGGAGATATCTTATATGTATATAAACCCATGTCCATATCTTATTTTATCCGATGTGGGACTTTGTTTGTACCCAACAGATCTTTCCTTACATTCCAACCTTAGGAGTGCTCGTTAGAAACTTTAAAACTGCTCAGATCACATCACCAGTCCAAAGGACCTCATTTAAGACTCCGATAAGAACATTTGGCGTCCCCCCTGGGGCCTTGATAGAACTTTTTCCCAGCCTCACCTTCCCATGGTCACCATCCAAAGTCAAGCCCAACCTTCTCACAATATCGAAGCAACTAATCCAATAGAACGAAGAACAATGCAGGTGCTATGATGCTGAGCTTGCAGCCCTACATGCTTAACATTAGGCAGGCCTTCAATAGTTCAATAAAAGTTGATTGACCTGGAGAACGAGAAATCACTTCCCTAAACTTGGCCTAACTCCCAAGAAGAAAGTTTGTGTCCTGGGCAAAGCACAACTAGCTAAAATGGAAAGCTTCGTGTGAAAGTCGCGATTGATCCCCTCAACGCAAAACTCAAAGAGTAAAGCAAGATAACCCGAGGCAAAACGGGGGAAACTCGCAAATGTTCCCACGACTTAGGACGAGATCATGGCAAGCACAAATGCCGCAATCCACACCAAGATAGGGAATCAGTAAAGTCCCAAGATTTCACGAGACATCCTGATAGTCGCATAAACCAGGAAGAGCGCCAGGCTAAAATACAGGAAAATAAAGTGGGGAAGGTGGTCGAATAGTGTTTTTAAAACTTTTTCGCAAATCAACATTTAACGACTATTGCAAAGATTAGACAATCTACAATAATTGTTAGACGCGTGTAAATTTAATATAACATTTAGGAAAACGTTTTAAAGAAAGAAAGCAATAGCACAAGTATTTTGATACTAGTTCGCTCCAATCTAAGCTACGTCTAGTTCTCCCTTAAGACCTCTTAAGGGGTTGCACTAATATTTAACAAGATTACAACGAATATAAACCACTCCTTATACACAATGAGCTATCAACCACTCCTAGTTAAACAAGTATTATCAATCACTCCTAGTTACAACCTTAGACAATCTGTCTAGAACGTTTAACTCCATTGAGTTAAACAATAAAATTATTTGAATTCACTTATGAATCTAACACAACAAGTGTTTTTAGGTTTTTACAAGAGAGAAGATTACTCTCGTAGAAAGAATATATGAATAATATAATGAGCTTTGAAAAACTTGTAAATGTTTTTTTCCTTTTGAATGAAAGGCTTTTAGACGATATGAACTTAGAGGAAAGCCATCAGTGTAATGATTCAAAGAATTGTTCTTATATTTTTTTTATTCTCTTCAATGAGTGCTCCTAATATAGCCTTCCTCGAGAGAAAATCGTTAAACATAGAGTTGACTTCCATGTAGACTTCATAGCCTTTTTAGGTAGGTAGTTAGACTTAGGTCAACATTGTAGAGTGATTGTGCTTTATCAAAGTTTTCTTCAAAAGTAGCTTGTACGGTTCTTCAGAGCATAGAGCTTTAAGGAAACATTCCCAAAATATCTTCCTATCTCTTAACGTCTTTCTGATCCTTGTGTAGAGCTTTCGAATAAAGCTCGATATTTTCATTATCTGCACAAATAAAAAGAGCAAAGCAAGCAAATAAGTACTTTTTCGTACATTTAATAAATGTTTTAAGCATTAGTGATTGTTAAGCACATTGTGTGTTTAAATCTTATTAGCACATGTCAGCTCGTCTAATGAAAACATCGTTTAGTTATGTTTAGTGAAACTTGTGTTCAGATGCTTTATCCTTTTTACCAAATGATATGGCGATAAGACACACTATAGGAACTTTATAGGGTTTAACGCTTTTTATCTACATGTTATATGCTTTTGTGATATCTTACATTCATTCTCATCTCATTTGATAATGTTTGACGCATTTAACTAATATCCTAGATGATTCATTTCTTTAAACGTTTTTTGTTCAACATTGTTTGGGTATAAAATCTTGAGCTTCAGTGTTTAGTTAAGCGTTTGCTAGACGTTTTCACACGTCAGACATTATTTGTTAACATTGTCTGTTAGATGATATATATGTATTAGAAAATGTTATAAATGCTTAGTTGATTCAACACATATTTTGTTCAGATTTATTCTTAACAAGTACAACCTTTAGATGCTTTATTCAATAAAAAATATTTCGTTAATTATGTATGTTAAACTTCAAAACACGAGTTGCTAGACAATTTAGTTTCTTTAGATGATCTTGTCTTAACACGAGCTTCCTAGGCACACAACTAAATTTTTTTAGAGAAAATCGGCCACATCAAGAACATTCATCCTTTTACGATAGAAGTGGCACGTTTATGCATCCCCAAAGGAATCCTCATCAACGTTTAGAAATACGACGAGACAACCAACCCGTCCACACTTCTAAAGGCTTATATAATCCAAGTTAGAATTCATACTCAAGATGAAAGAGGTTTTTTTAGGTTATTTCCAACCACCCTGTGCATATTGACTCTAGAGTGGTACCACACCCTACCCCTATACTTAGTGAATTCTTTTGAAGTATTGAGCACCATGTTCATAGCTTCGTTTGTTGATTGAAGGCAATGCCCACCACATTGATAGCCTTAAAATACATAGAGCAAGGGGAAAATGAAAACCTTAGTTGTTATTTTAAAAATTAGTTAAATGAAAATAGGAGATATAATCTTGGTGAGTTTAAAGATTAAAAGAGATATTATTAGAGAAAATAATTATTAGATATTGCTAGATATTTTAAAGATTACGTGGATTTTCAAAAGATCTGGTGGTTGATGGTATTTTAAAAAGTAGTTAAGAGAGAATAAGAGAGGAAATCTTAGTGGTTTTAGAGATAAAGTAGAAGATTTTATTAAAACTAAAAAGATAGAGATTGAATAAAAGAAGATAAAAAGTAGAAGAGTAGTCTACATTTTGTTACCCTATAATCAAAAAACAAAAATTAGAAAGATAAGAGAGAGAAAAGGCGTTTTCTAAGAGAAAAGACAAAATGCTGTAGAAAATCTTAGTGCAAGGGAAAATGTGTGGTATTTTTGACCAAGGTACGAGGAAGCTTACCATTTTATTTGTTGTATGATATGCATTAGAGTCATTTGAAGAGTCATTTGGTGAGAGGTAAAAGCCAGGTGAGAGAGAAAGGAAGAGAATAAGTTATTCCCGCATAAGATGAAACCTCCACTAGTGTTTTCGTAGTTGTGAAATCCTTCACCGTTGGATCGTGTTGGTTTTTGGACAGTGGGTTTCAGATGTATGGTTCTTCATTCTTACTGTTCGGATTGTTAATTGGAGGTTATTTTGGGAGAAAACAACCTTGTATAAGCAACTTTGTTTTGGAGAATTTTCATCTTCTTAGTTCTCATTTGTAAGCATTATGCTTAGTTAGTTTGACTGATTGAAAATCCCATTTGGTGTATTTATCAGAGACTCTTTTGCATCATATTATTGATTATAGTGGATTTTTCTTTGGTCTGGACAACTCATGGATTTTTTCCCTTGCATTGAGGGTTTTTCCATGTTACTAATTTTTGGTGTCTTATTGTGCTTTAGATTCTGTTTTTGCTCTATTTGTTTGGTGCTCCTCGCAGATTCTCACAAGAAGGAGGATTGAATTTTCGTTGTGTTATTACTCTTTCTTCTGTTGCTATTATTTTTTGCCATTTTTTCCATCAGTAAAGGTGTGGTAATAATCATATGTAATATAATTGGGTTTATTAAGAGTATAACATGTCAATGATTAGATCTGGATGATTCAAGTGATGTAATATATGTGTTTGAGTATGTTTACATGGGTATATGATGCTTGAATGCATGTATGATGTGTTAAGTATGTTTTCACTTGATCTAGGGTTGATGTATGAAAGTTTGAATGCTCAATCATGTCTAAGATGTATTTCGATTCGGTAATAATCGATTAAAATTAGTTATAATCGATTATTTGCGCGTTAGTTTTGAGTGTCGTTTTGGGAATTATTGATTATTTGGGATGATAATCGATTATCCCTTCCTGCTTGATGTTTCTCGATATATTTCATTGAGATAATGTGATAATCGATTATGATTGTACATTTTTGTGAAAAATGGAAAATTGGATGAAGAATGAATGTGGACCAAGTTTGAGGAGCTGTAGAACATGATGATAATTAGATATTGAGTTTAGTGGTTATGTTTAGGGTCAATTTGACTTGTGATTGAGAGTGGAGCATGAGTGAGTGTTGGGATGTACTTGAGTATGTGATTGATGAACATGACAATGAAGGATAAGTCTACTTGTTGTACCTCGTAAATCCTGGTTCTATATATGGATAAGTGTTTCCTTTTGTCTTGTGTTCATTGAAAGAATTGTTCGGTTATTAAACTTTC